TATGGACACAGCCTGACACTGCACTCTTGGTGCCAACCAAGGAAAAATGGAAGCATGAAGATTTTTTCACAGCAGCTTCTTATCTAATTGCCAAACCCTGGGAACACCCACATGAACATGGACAGATGTGTGGTCACCTGCATCATGAAATAGTCTGGCCAGATGTCAAAGCCTACATACTCAGGGAAGGAAGTACAGACACAAGGCTGTAAGCTATATGATTCTTTGTAATGGCATTCTGAACACTGACAAGATGGACACAAGATGAACGTCATAGGCTGAGGTGAAGGGGAATAGGGTGCCTAGGGTATAGGGGTTTACAGTGGCTCAGGGAGATGTAATATCAAGCGGTGAGTTACTGTGTGCACACTATACCACCACAATAGTGACTTGTTATAAAAAGTCACAAAATGTTAAAACAAGTCAAATACTAAGCAAATCATCAGACTACTTGTCCAAGGGTGTTGTCCTTAGCTAGGGACCTGTGAAGTCCATTCTGGGAACATTTCTCCTCTGTCCTTTTGATCCTTCTGCCCCGCCCCCCATTCTGGCCCAGATATCAGAGATGGCTTTGAAAGATCTGTGTACTCTGAACCCTTGAGTAGTTTTGAAGATTAAATGCCCCAAGATTTAGATCTGAGGCCTCCTAGAAGTACCTTCCAAGGAAAGTATTTAAATATGGGAAACAAGAGCAGTTATGTAGAATGTAAGGAGATTCCGAGCGTAAAGAAACTAGTCAGCTCTAAGACTTTTGGGGCATGGGGCCATTTAAAGAAAAGCAGATGGGGACCTACATTTGGGGGTTGTGGGCCAGAATGAGAGGTGAATTCTTCAAGGGACCAGTGTGGAGGAAGACAGACTAATGAAGTGAAGAAGAATGTTAGAATGAACTCATTGAGGATGATTATCATGTTAATAATGCCATTAATCTTACTCTTTTTACTAGTTTGATTATTCTTAAATAATAGAGTACTAGGAGATTAATCTAAAAGTGCTAAATAAATATTTACTAAAATTTTGGAAGTGAGACATTGGTCTTCTGGGCCTTTATAAGAACCTCAGGTCCTGTTTGCTGCTTCAGCACTGAAGGCAGCTCAGGCCTCTACAGTGATGAGAGGTCTACTGAAGGCAGAGGAGCAGGCATGTTTACATGCAGTCAGGGTAAAGGACAAGTGGTGCCAGTCACACACTTAAGAATGGCTGTAATAACAAAAATAGCAGGTGTCAGCGAGGATGTAGAGAAGTTGGAACCCTTATGCCTGCTTGTGGGAATGTAAAATGGTACAGCCTCTGTGGAAAACAATCTGGTGGTTTCTCAAAAGGTTAAATGTAGAATTACCATATCACTCAGCAGTTCCATTCCTAGGTAAATGTACGCAAATGTTCTCAGCACCATTATTCACAATAACCAAAAGGTAGAGACAGCTCAAGTATCCAGCAACAAATGAACAGATAAGTAGAATGTGTTGTATCCATGGAATGGAATATTATTCAACCTGAAATGGAGTGTAGTTCTGATGGATGAACCTTAAGGATTAGGTGAAATAAGCCAGACACAAAGACAAATATTGTAGGATTTCATTTGTGTAAAATGTCCAGAATAGGTAAATCCTATAAAGACAAATCATTCGCAGTTGCCAGAGGTAGGGGGAAAGGTGCTTAAGGGAAGGATTAGGGTGAAGTAAGGAGCGACCACTGAGTACAGGGCTTCTTTTTATGAAAATATTTTGAAGATAAAGGTGATGGTTGCACCCTCTAGTGAATGTGTTAAATGCTACTGAATCATTTGCCTATGAATAAAATTTTATGTTTTATTAAACTTCACCTTAATTTAAAAGTATATTTTTAAGGCTGGGGTCATAGCTCAGTGTTAGAGCGCTTGTCTAGCATGTGTGAGGCACTGGGTTCGATTCTCAGCACCACATATAAATAAAATGAAGGTCCACTGACAACTAAAAAAAACATGTATTTTTTAAAAAGAATATTTTTACAAAGTGAAACTCACATCTCATTTCAAGATATATCAGTGGTGCCCATGAGAGGCATCAGACAGCAAGGTAGCCATCTTCAAGACCCTACCATCCAGTATACCTGGCTACTTATGGTGGCCAGGTATGCCCTGGACATGTTGGAGGGAACTGGATGTTTTTACTTAAATGAATTTTATTTTAAAATCTACTTGATATAGTCATTGGAAAACTTTTAAGTATTTTTGAAACAACATGAGCATATGAATCTGCTCTTAATTATAAATTTTATGAAATCTAAATACAGATCAAACATTTCTGATGAAAAAAAGTACAAGGCTCTTCTCAATTTTTGTTGGGTTTGCTAATGCATGTGTGGACACAAGGACATGGTGGTGAGTCCTCTCCCTTCTGCTGAACAGACAGAATGAGCCCCCTTCCTAAAATATGCCCTCTCCCTCTTCTTGGGCAGACCAGTGAATTATCTTCAGTTCATCTCCTACTGTGCTCACTGAAGTCAGGCATGTCTGTAGTCCTGCGTCTGGTCTTGCAGTGTATAAAGGCCCAACAGCAGCAATGGGGCCCCCAGACTTGCTGTGTCAACCAGCTGACCTCAGGATGCTATTAGTGGGCTGTTGGCATACCTGGGATTTGGAGGGTTTGCCCTTACTAAATAGGGATAATAGTGTGCATGTTACAGGGCTTCTGAATTCTAATAGTATGTTGTGTAGTTCTCAGTAATGATAATTACTAAAGAAAATAATAGTAAAAACTTTAAAAATCTTTTCAGAATTTACAGTTTTATAAGTGCCTCAAAAATCTCTGAAACAGGAAACAGTGTATTTCCCACCTGAGAGGGTTTTTTGTTTGTTTGTTTTTTATGCTTTCTGTTCATTAAAGATGGGGCAGAGTTCTCAGCCTGGAGTCTCTGGAGGTACAAACTGAAGTTAGCAATAGGTCAGCTCAGTGGAGTATCTGGATTGGAAGTTTCATCCTGAATTTAAATTGGGCATTGCAGAACAGGAATCATTTATTAGTGAAGCTGTCATCTGGTGGCATATGCAATCTCCCCTTTTCTTTACTCCCCCTCTGCTCTGGGAGCCAGGAGTGGAGGTTTTTGAGATGCTGACCTCATGTCATGATTGCAAGTTTTTGTGTTGATTTTCCTAGTTCTGAAAAACTTTCCCTTCTGTGTGTGTTCTACAGCCCCTTCCACCTCACCCTCTTATATAAGAGAAGGAGTTTATGGGGAGTTAGTCCAGAGGTCTGCAGGGCCAAGTGCCCAGCATGGTGTGGGTGGGTTTGGTCAGCAGGGGCTCAAAGGTGGGAGGTAGAGGGACCTTATTAGGACTACCATGCTCCCTATGGGGTGCACAACATCTCTGATTAAATAGGTGGCACCTTCTGTGGATACTCTTGGCCATCTGTCATGATTGCCTAGAGTGTGGCTTTCACCCCTGGTCAGTGGTTCTGTTAGATGCTCGTCTGTGAGAAGAGCTACCCTCACTTGGCAGTCCTTGCCACCTTTTCTCCCTTCTGTGAGGATTAAACAGTTTCATCCCACTGGAGTCACAGGACAAGGTGGGGAAAAATCCACTTGTTCCTTCATGGTTTCTCTGGTAAGAATTTTTTTATGAACCCAGCTACTGACCATGAGGGATACAGCCAGTTTGCCCAGTCCCTGTGCATCCCTATGACGACTGACCTCAGGGGATAGTGTGTCCTGGCTCTTTTCTGTTTGTCTCTGTGGATCTGGGGCCTTGCCATTTGTCTCCGTGGCAGACTGAGCAGCAGGTGCCCTTGGGCACAAACTATGGTACACGGCTAATTCCTTGCTCCCTTGCTTTAGTCCCGCTCGGCTTTGTGTTTCTGTAATGAGTTTTGCAGATCTCAACACTAAGGACTGTACCGTGAGGCTCGGTGAGTCTGGGCTTTCCTGGAGAGGTGCCCAAATTGGCATGGACCAGGTTTGGGGCACTCCTAATGGGGCTTCTTCTCCCAGAGCCATCTCCGTCTGTGGAGCTGGAGAACTCCCACAGAAAGCAAGCCCAGCTCTAGGGAGGGAATGGAGATGGGCACGTGGGCCCCATGTTGGAGAGTGAGGGGGCCCTGGGAGATTCTGTCATACATTAGGCCAAGCTCTTCATCTTATAATCCCAGTCACCTAAACATGGCAGGAGACTGGTGTTCTCATAATAACAGAAACTCAAAAGCCAAGTGAAACTGCAGTGAGGGAGCAAGGAAGAACATCAAGAGATGGCAGGAAACTCTTGGAAGCAAGAAAGATCATTGAGGTAGGAGGTAGTTTATAAGAGTTGGGCAGGGACAAGATCCAAATAGGCAGTAAAGATCTGGAGAGGCACTTTTTTTGTGGGGGTGAGGCAGGGAGATTACTGGGGATTGAATCCAGAGGCACTTTACAACTAAGCTACATCCCCAGCCCTTTTTAAAAAATTTTTAGTTTACATATATATATATATTTTTGTTTTGTTTTGTTTTGTTTTGTTTGTTTGTTTGTTTTGAGACAGTAGCTTGCTAAGTTGCTGAAGCTGGCCTTGAACTTGCAATCCTTCTTTCTCAGTCTCCTGAGTCACTGGGATTACAGGCATGCACCACTGCCCACTGCAGATAGGCTTTTCATGGCAAGATTGTGGCAGGCTAGGGTGGACCAGGACAAGGTCCAGATGGGCCAGGAGTATCTCTTAAGAGAATATCCTCTTGTGAATATGGACAGAGTGGGCATATATTGTCGGCATCATTCTGACTCTGAGGATCTGGGACCTGGTGGTGAAGGTCTGGGGTACCTGCAAGATGTAGGTCTCTTTGCTCCCATTATGTTCTTGGGCTCAAAGGTGCCTGAGAGTGTTCTGGCACACTTTCCTGTATGGTGCCTTCCTTTGAATGGTTGATCCTGGTCTCACCCTGAAATGTCTGTCTCTCAGCAGCCTCTCTGCTCTGTCCCTAGCTTTGGAGACCTGGCCTATGGCTGTCAGTTCCCATCCCTAATATAGTTCTCTATCCTGTTTGTCCCAGGTGAACCTGAGCAAGGTGGGTGAGTACTGGTGGAGTGCCATCCTGGAGGGAGAGGAGCCCATTGACATCGACAAGATCAACAAGGAGCGCTCCATGGCTACTGTGGACGAGGAGGAGCAGGCAGTCCTAGACAGGCTCACCTTTGACTACCACCAGAAGCTACAGGGCAAGCCTCAGAGCCATGAGCTGGTATGCACACTATGGTCTTCCTTGCCCTGGTGACAAGACTGCTAGCAGCAGAGGGGTGGGCAGTGTTGGTGGTGGGGAGGAGGGTGGTGGATGGGCCAGCCTTGCTTCAGCCTGCTGTACCACAAGCTGCCCTGCCAGTCTTGGCTCAGGAGGCCCAGGAGGGGCCCCATCTTACCTGCTTTTATCACCTGTTCCCTGCCTAAGGATTGGTACACACTGGTATTCCAGCCACATTCTCATATCCAAGCCAAGAGCCCAGGAGGCAGGACCTGGAAGGATGTTATGCAATGTGCCCTGCCCACACTGGAGCCTAGAAATGTCTAGTGTTGACAGCTCTTACCTCTGTGCCTCATCCACACATAACTTGCCTAGAGCTCCATGGGCCCCTCAGTGGAGGAGGGGAGAGCCAGCCTGTAGGGCCAGCCTGGTTTCTGACTGTGGAGGGCCTGATATAAGGCAGGTAGCTAGCAATTCACTCACTGTGAATGAATGTTGGGGCTGTGACTGGGGAGGTATGAGGTCAGCAGCTATTGGGGGATCAGGAGGCTGGTTCATGTCCGACCCATCAAAGAAAATGATTGATTAGAAAAACATGTTCACTTTTCCTTATTTTAATAATCCTACAGGTAGCTCCTTAGGGAAGAAAAGGCTGCTTTTCCTATTGTCACCTTCCAGGGTTTATCCATACAGTGCTGTAGGTTTGGACAGCAGCATGCACATGGACCAAATACAGCCTTGGATCAGTAGGGAAGGGTCAGCTGCTGGGCATGGGTCAGTGTCCAAAAAGCCACACAGATTCATATTTTCTTCTTTGTCTCTGGAAGAAGCCTCACTTTGTGGTTTGTCCCTTTCTTTTTGGGGTGGCAATACATATTGGGGGCTTCTGTATACTCTGCTGCTTTGTCAGACACTGTTTCCTATCTTCACAGATATGTCCCTATCTCTATAAAGTTGAGGTGCCTGGAAGTTTTGCTGCTTTCCTCTCCTTCCTAGGCCCTGCCACACCAGGGCATGTAGTGAGCACATACTATGTATGTGTAGGGTGGGTTGGCTAGCTGTAGGCTCTGCACACTACTCCTGGAATGATGGTTCCCCCCACCCACAAAAGCAAAATTGAGCTTTCTTTCTTGCTTGCTTTTTTTTTTTTTTTTTTGGTGTGGTGTCGGGGATTGAATCCAAGGCCTTGTGCGTGTGCGGCAAGCACTCTACCAACTGGAGCATTATCCCTAGCCCCAAGATTGAGTTTTCAAGGTCTCAGAATGTGGTTAGGCAGCTCAAGCAGCCTGGGTAGGGTTTGACCCCAGATCTAATTTCAGACCTTCCTGTCCTTGTGGACCTGGCTCCCTCAGCTCAGCCCATTCCTCTGTGGAAGAGAATGTTCCTTTCGGTTTGGCCCCCTTTTTCACCTAGGGCACAGTTTGGTTGAACAACATCTCTTCAGGGTCTCTGTGGTACAGAAGTCACAGAAAGCTCCCAGCATCATCTCAGATCATGTGGACAGCCAGAACTAAGTGATTGCAATTTAAGCTAGCCACTGCCCTTGCCTGTGAGCCTTTGCCCTGTGGGTAGGGCCTGAGGACCAGTCCATCCTGTGTCTGGGGTCAGCACTCAGAGGGCTGAGGTTGACTTCCCGGGAAAGAGAAACTATTTTGACTGGAGAGCATACATGCAGATGCCCATTGTGCTGAGAAAGTGAGAATTCTTCAGAAGCATATATTTGTGCCACAGGACAGAGAGGACAAGGACCCAAGATCCTCACATCTTCCCCAGATGCCAACATCAAGTTTTTGTTACAGAGAAACACTAAAAATTTAAATTTATTGTGTCTTCAGCTATATTTGCGCCAAGCTTCAGTGAGGTCTTGGTAGACTTAATTATGATATATGATATAAGCTAGAATGTTCTACAACTTTTTGCATCTCTGCCCTCAAGGTCCCTGTGATTACATCTCTTGCAGATGTAATCTGCAAAATACCAGTAATGTCATTTGTCTGGGAGTTGCCAATAGTACAGGATCTACATGGAGTATTGGGGCTTCTTGTTCTCTGTTTCCTTTTTTCCCCTCCCTGTATCCTTCCTTCTTCTTGACCTTTGGCTCATTCTCTCTTTCCCTTCTTTATACTCAGTGCTGATGTCCTCTGGCTTTGCCCAGTGTCACTGTCCTTGAGAGCTGACATGAGCTGGACATGGTGTTAGTCTCTGCATCCTCAGCAAGGGCAGACACAGATCTGCCTTGAAAGCATGGAGAGTCCTGCCACTTAAATCTGATCTCTCCAAAGACTAGTTCAGTCCAGCTTTGCAGTCTTATTGATGGTCCTCTTCAGGAAAAGGATGCTCTGTTTTTCTCATTCTTGGGGTCCTGTTGGGGGAAGGGGGGTCGGAGGGCGACTTGTTCTGGTGACTGCTATTCTGCCCACTGCCCAGGACTAGGAACAGAATCATCTGCTGCTTATCCCTAGAAAACTGAGGCAGCTTCCAGGAAAGTTTTACCAAAACAGATAGGCTTCACCGGGCAAGAAGTAGCAGCAGCATATACCATACATGTGCACCATGTATTTGTGCACTTACATGCAGCCTCCCCCTGGACTCCAGGGTACTATAGAGGAAAAAGCACTGCATTGGGCTATAGATGGCTTGCTACATCTATAGACGGCTGGACAACTGATTGTGACCAGCACTGGAGAGCTTAGGGGTTGGAAAGTAACTCAGTTAGGAAATATCCAAAGAAGAACCTTAAGGACACTATAGTCTAGTGCATAGATCTGTGTTTTGAGTCTAAACTGATTCAGCCATGAACTTGCAACATGGTCCAAGCAGCATGCCGATATTTGAGGGGTTGTATGACCTTGCCCAAAGGTCTACCCTGGGAGACCCTCAGCAGCCCAGGATTGGCAGCCAATGAGTAGGACTCTGGGTGACTCCTCACCAGGACTGACCTACTCTTAGATGACCAGAGAGCCTCAAGCCCCTAGGCTGTGGGTCTTAATGAACCCCCTTCTTGGAACTGTTGTCATTCAGAAGAATGTGTATCCCACAACCTGCCTGACACCAATGCCAAAGTGTCAGCTCCTCACTGGTCTTGGCACAGCTTGGGGAAAGGTTCTCAGTTCATGCGGGCCCTGACAACCTATGGGTTCCATATAAAATATCCTTAGCTCCTTTTTTATCAAATGAAGAAATAGACCCAGAAAGGTCCATACCCTTATGTGGCCTCATATAATTTAGTCACACTTTACTCTTTGTTATCAGGGTACCTCATGGGCAGAAAGACCCTCCAAAAAGTCAGGTGGGTGGTCAAGGTCGCTGCGCTAGGATCATCAGGCCTCACTAGTAGAGAGAATGGAAATAGGGCCAGGTTCTCCTGTCAGCCTCCATCTGCTGCGCACATCAGCGTAGTCACAGTTACCAACGTGCTCTGGCATTGATGCCCATTTATGGTGTGAACTCAGAGTTTTCTAAATTTGCCAGGATTTCAAATTGTGCTTCTAATGCCACAGATGCTATGTATTTTGAAGCATTTTAATTTCAAAATGATAACTCTTTTCTTTTGTTGCTTTAAATTTTTTGATGTCACTGTGAATTCACCTCTTCTCAAGATTAACAAGTTTACTCCCCTTCATCTTTTTCCCCAGTTTAATTTCTTTGAGCAGGTTTCTCATCTAGAAAGGGAGGGTGGAGTGCACAGGTGTTCAGTCTGCACTCAGAGGTGTCTATTTAGAATATCTCCAGCTGGGTGGAACTCACCCTAAAAGTCAGTAACTGACATTGCACAAGCATATGCCAGCATTAATATGATGGCTGGACCTACGAGTGAATTTGGTGACGTACAGGAATGTCTACTCTCCACCTTTGCCCCAGGGAAGGTCTGGACACTGATCCTGACTCCCTGGGCTCCAACAATTTTAAGATCAAGTCTAAAAATCTCCTTACATCTGGCTTCCTACATTGAGCCTCTACACAGCCTCCAGACTCTTGGGGTGAGAGGAGGCTGCTGTACGGCTCTGTAACTGTTAGCCCTCTAGCTGCCCTTCACCCTCCAGCTGACTACAGCTCTGTTAAGGCATAGAGGCCTCCTTGGCCTCTTGCTTAGCATGTCAGGTCCATTCTTGTGTTTGGTTGAGACTATCCAGCTTCATGCTTCCTGTTGGCCAGGCCATCAGGGTTGTGCAGAAGGGCTTCCTGAAGTCCTCCTTGCCACCCCTGTCACTTGGTATGCGCTAATTGCTCTGACCACACTGCAGTGCCTTAAAGTGGTCTGGCTCTGATCTGAGTTATCTCTAAGAAGTTGAGAATACTGATCAGTCCCTAATACGTGTTACGGATCCAACATGCTCATTGCTACTAGGAAAAAGAAAGTCCCCTTGTCAGGAAGGTTTTATTTTATAAGGAGAAGCTGTGGTACGGAAAATCCAGAAGCTTTACCAGATGCTAGGAATTTTTGTTGGAGTTGTGTATCTGTCTTCTAGGCCTGTTCTTCAGGCTTTCTGCAACAGAAACCACAGACTCCATTGGTGGGATAACCCCTGGCCCTATACACGTCAGCCTCTTCATTTCTTGTGGTTGAAAGAAGAGATCATCCCCATCTGTGGGTACACTTGAAGTGACCAGGTGAGGAGGACAGATGCTTAGAGAAGGGCTGGCCCACCAGCCTAGGCTCAGGTGCCTCCCTCAGGGTTACAGCCTTCCTGATGTCCCTTGACTACGGCCGTACTGCTATGGTCTGCTTGCTGACCCTTGGAGGCTAGGCGTTCTGCAGTGGTCATGTGCTAGAAAGGAGCTAAGTCTGTCACCCCTGACTAGGTCCCCAAGGAAATAGTGGGACATTCTTGCCTGGTGGATTCCCTACTGGACATTCTGAGGTCTCTCCTCCTGCACCACATCTTGGGTCAACCTTGAATTGTCTGATGATGGCAGTTGTCAATGACAAGAACTTTTTCCTTTGGGAAGGCGGTACGGGAAAATGCCTAGTGGGGGTTCTAGGCTCTGTAGGCTGTTTGGAATTTGGACAGAAATCCTGGTAGAAAGGGAAAGAAGACGTGAACCACAGAGCGCTGTCATTGCTTTACTGGAGACAGAAGAGAGGATTAGAAATTCAGTCTGTGGGGAGCGCAGTCTTACAGGAATTGGCAGTCACCCAGTGCCTCCATTGGTCTTGAGCTGCTGGAGGGTATACGATCCTCCAGCCAGTTTGTCTTACGGGGCAAGTTCCCAATCCCTGAGGAAGCAGTTCTGTTCCTGCAATCCATCTGCTCTGGGAGGAAGCATGCAGTCCCTTGTGATCCCCTTTAATCTCTCTATTTTCTGTTTGTAGAAAGTCCATGAGATGCTGAAGAAGGGGTGGGATGCTGAAGGCTCTCCCTTCCGAGGCCAGCGATTCGACCCAGCCATGTTCAACATCTCCCCGGGGGCTGTGCAGTTTTAATGACCAGAAGGAAAGGAAACTCGCCAGCAGGGAGGCAGAGGCTTTGTTCTCAGCTGTCCCTCTCTCTCAGCTCCCTGTGTGCCAGGGACTTGCTCGTCTCATTCACCCCTAGCCATCCTTTCTTTCAAGGGTGAACCAGGCCATCAACCCTGACCTTGCACCTCCAGGCTGTTCCAGAGAAGGTGCGGGGCCAGCTGCTGCCTGGTGGCCGCTGAGGCCAACACTGAATGAAGGTGTTTGAAATGCAGGAGGGACACGTCCCAGTAAACTGAGAGCACATGCTTTGTCTCCACAGCAACCAGCCACTGCAGGCAGCATTTCTTTTGCTCTCTGCTTGCTGTTGTTTTGATGCTATTCTGCTTGCTTTTCTTCTGGTTGGGAGTGGGGAGTTGCTGGGCTCTTGGACGAAGCCAAAGTTGAAGTGTGTGGGGTGCAGCACTTGCATGAAGGCAAGTGGGGAACAGCTGTGGAGCTGCTGCTGGGGCCGCTGTGGGAAAACCGTACCCCTTGACCTCATTAGGTATGTTCACGTGCAGTCTTGCTCATCCATTTGTAAATGTGCTCTGTTTGCCTCGGCCACATAGGCAGAACAGCAGAAACTGCAGTCCTATTTTCACATTCTTGATGTTGGGAGAAAGTCTGGGGTTCTGGTCTCAGGCCCGGATGCAGTGGGAATTCTGTCTGCCCTCGGATTGCGGCTGCTTTGCTTTGTTTCTTGTTAAAGTGAACTGAGCCTGGCCACCACTGCATGGTACACTCTGCTTGGCTCCCTGTGTGACCTCTTTGGATGTGCTATGTCAAAGCATGGGCAAGAACCAGGCATCCTCAGGAGACCACACCAGGTCTAGCAGCTCATTGGCAGATCATGTCAGCCATAACCCTGAGCAGCCTTGACCTCGGGTGCCTCAGGAAGAGGAATTTCTATACAGGCACGAAGGCACACTGTCCCACTGTGACAGATCCCAAGAAATTGAAGACCCTCATACCAGGCACTGGATTGTGCTCCCTGGATCTCCTAGTCTGTCCCCCCTGTTGTCCAGGGAATGGGCACCATCTCAGTATCCCTAAGCCCATGCCTTGAGCCACAGCACTGACTCTAGCCAAGTTATGAAGACCTGACTGAGGGGCTGAGCTCCAGGTGCTCTAAGTACTTACAGGACTCTCTCTGCCTGTTACCAGGAATGTGGTATAATCAGTGCCCAGCACTGTCCATTCACCTAGCTGGCAGCCTCAGTGTATGAAAATAAGTCACACCACAAGTCTTTGTACCCTGGTTATACCCACGGCCAGCTGGAGTCAAAGCCTAAAGATGCTGGGCAACTTGCTCTTGGCAAAGAGCACTGGCCTGCAAGCTCTCTGCAAATGCTCAAGAGGGACTGTCTAGGAGAACAAGTTGGTGGGACATCCTTCCAAAGGCTTCCACATTGAACTGTGTCGACAGGATCTAGTTTGTTGTAGTCATTTTGGGCTAGATTTCTGTTTACAGTGGTGGCTGACAGCCCTTATAAAAAGTACATCCTGGGGCTGAGGTTGTGGCTCAGCAGTAGAGCACTCACCTAGCATATATGAGGCCCTGGGTTCGATCCTCAGTACTACATAAAAATAAATAAATAAAATAAATGTATTGTGTCCAACTACAACTAAAAAACAAATTATATATATATATATATATATATATATATATATATATATATATATTTTTTTTTTTTTTTTTTTAAGTACATTCTGGGAGGTATTCTATGGGTCCAAAAATGTCATACTGACTGTCAAGGGAGAGCAGAGGACCCCAAATGCCCCCTTTGAAATGTGAGAGCTCTGCTGTCTGACATTGTCACCAAGCTAGTGCGGCCCCTTCTGAAGAGATCTTGAACCCCAGGAAGCAGAACTGATTCACCTTCAAGAGATTCTGAAGAAACCTTTGTTGTTTTTTCCTGAAGTTTCATCAAGGTCCTAGGATTTGCAAAACACTGTCCCATACAACTGTCACACCTAACAAAAAAGAGGTCTCGGGATGAATGTGCATGTCTCCCATCTTATCTGTGATTCCTGAGTTGGCTGCCTCCTCCCTGCCCCCCTCCCTGTGGACAGTCTTCCAGGAGGGATGAGGTGTGTGAGCCCTGCTCCTCATTGTTTGGGAGACTGAGTTGTTCACTTCTCTGACTTGTCTTCCTTTTGCCTGGATTTACTTTCTGTGTTGCATTTCTTCCCAGTCCCTGCCCTTCTTTAACAAACAGTAAACCAGTGTTTAGGAAAGAGTAGCTGAGATGGGCAGCGTTGGGTGTTAGCTGTGTGGCAGGAGCCTGGTCTGGTCCTTGGGTACACAGTGTGGTTGTGGGTTCTGGGCCCACAATCCTTGTTCCTGGCCTGGCTCACTCCTAGCCAGGCTGGGGGATGATTCTCCAAGCTGGGGCTCCTGCTGGACTGTCTAGCCTCTGGAGCTGGCGCACTGCCTATTTTCTCTTTTTAGACACGACAGCCGCAGTTTGGCCACTAAATCCCACCAGCTGAGGTCTGAGGAAAATGGGGTGACTCGTCCCCCTTGTCCAGGGTCCCAGGAGAGTGGGGTGTCCAGCCTGCAAAGCTGCTCCGGCTCCTCTGTGTTGGTTTGCAATAAATCTGTATTTAAGCAGTTCTGAGTGTGGCATTGCTCTTTATAGTTCTGTTTGTGAGTTGTCATTACCCACAATTTCTAGTCATGAGGCTTTGGGCCCCAGTATACAGCCAACACCAAAATGGGGAATCTTCCATCCAGCCTAAAAGCCCTGGCAAAACTTCACACAGCTTTCAGAAATCCTATAAGCTTTTGATCAGATAAAAGAATGTAACTAGCTCTGACATAATTTCAAATAGGTCTGGAATTCTGTTTACCTGAAGGCTCAGGTTGAGTGCAGAATTCTGAATGACCCTGCTGGATGGTGAACAGGGCGCCTTCACTCATTGTTCACCAAGCTCCCAGCCCGTGGGTCTCCAGGTACCTCTGCACTGCCGCAGATCCTCCAGGTGCACATCTTCAGGTTAGCTGCATTGTCTTCCACCAAGACAGCCTGACATCTGACTCAGAACCCCATCAGATCTCAGGTTATTCCATTCTGAGTCCTTCCCCCATTCCAGGGAGAACTTATTTCCTCTGACCCTGCTCATTCTCAGTGGGCAGGACCTGAGGGTGTGAGAAGTATTTATCAATTGAAGAATATATCAGAGGCTAACTGAAATTGTCCATTCTTAGGGCCATAAATAACCTCCAGAAAGGAGAGAGAGCTTCAGTAATTTGCCCCTAAGAATGCAGGAGGGAAAAGCTCAAGAAGTGTTTTTGTGGAAATGTGTCCAGGAGGCGTCGGCTGCTACACAGAGAACTCGCTGGCCAGGACACCATGCTTGGGGAACAGACCCTCACCCCACCTCAAATCTGCTCCCCCAGCAAGCCAGCTGGCAGCCAGCTCAGCCAGGGATGAGATGGCTCTCTTTTGTGAATAAAGAGCATGAAGTTTCTCAGCACAGTCTGGTCAGCCCTTGATAAACCCTTTCCCCTTTGATCAGAGGCCTAGCAACCCTGCATAGCTGGGGGACTGATGCAGAGTTGGGTGTGATTTCCCATGGCCAAGGTTGATGTCCACTATCTGACTAAAAATCTGGGGAGCAGGTGTTTGAGCTAGACTGCTGCCCAGCAAAGTCTGCTGAATACCATAATGACCCCATAGGAATGTGGTTTGAAAGCCCCAGGGTGCCTCCTGTCAGTCCTGGTTAGGAAGGTGCAGTCAGTCTCAGGAATAAGAAGAAAAAATATTCTACTTTTCCAGATTTCACTCAGCCAGCTCATACTAACATGGTTTAACATTTTGTCTCACTTTCTTGGTTTTATATTATAAGAATGAAAATTGAACACACTGGCCTTTCCTTCAAGGGGATGAGAGGACCCTGGCATCATGGTTTCTTGGTGTGTCAGGTGACCAGTAGGGAGTAGGCCTGCCACTCATCCCTCCCAAGATGAAGGCCCAAGTCCCCCACTGCATACACCCAGGTCCTTGTGCCAGGAAAAACTGGCCAGCTGGCTGCAGGCCCATAGCTCCCTGCTATGCCTTTGTAGGGTAGGGAGGAGACCATCATAGAGCCAGATGGTGCTGACCTGTTGGGATCCCTGGGCCTCCTCACTCTTGGAAGGAAGCTCATGTTTCTGTTTGCTGAGGTGGCTGAGTCAAAGCCCAGACTGGACAGTGATTCAAACCAGTACTGGGTTGCCAGGACTACTGTGGGGCCATCCCCAAAATTTGCTTTCTTTCCTATTTTTGCCAGTGGAAATGCAGGCATACATGGTGGGAAGAGCATATGTGGTGGTCGACCTGTGGGTACCATCAGCTGGTTCATAAGGCCACCCAAGTGTATGGCTTCTAGCAGAGTGGGCCCAAGACTACTTTCCCTAGAGAAGGGCTGTTTAGGGGGCACTAGCAGGAAAGATGCCAAGACCAGAAGGTGGCTGGCTGGTATCCTGGTACTTCACCCAGTCATAGGTGTTTTTACCCAGAGCTGGAGGAAGCCTCAGGGACTTAGTGGTCCAACACCTCATGCTAGTCACAGAAGCAAGGCTGTGTAGCTGGTGTCCCCATCCTTTCTCCAGGAAAGGCCCATGCTTCCTCTGAGGCTGATGACCCCTCCTATCAAATTCATTGACCATGTTCCTCTAGATTTAAAGAGCAGGACCAGCAGCTTCCAGGTGCAGTCCTGGTTATGACACATGCTCTGTGGCACCATGACACACACAAGTGGCAGGACTGAAGTACCGAGGGTCACCATAGGCTCTAGTTCTGATGGGCAGCTCATCACAAGACTCTGCCTTGGGCTGTTGGTCACCCCGGTCCCACAGTGCAGGTTTGTTTAGACTAGATAGGGGGGAGAAAGACGACACCACCACCACCACCCCTTGCACTCCAGCATCATTCATTCTGTAGAAGCTTAAACAATACATGGGCACAGTGACTGCACATTAAAGAGAGGATAATGAGCCATTGGAGCCTCCTAGCTTTCCCAAGTTTGCTTCCTGCCAGGTGGTAATCTCCACCCCTTCCCTGCAGAGATAGGGTCTGCCTCCCTGTTAGGACTTTGTATAAGGCCAGAGTGGGGAGAAGCTGCCAGAAGACAGGATAAAGGGATGTGGGGCTGGGGGCTTGAAGGAGGCCCTTTCCACAAGGAGGGGCAGCTACTCTAGTCATGGATCTTGGTGGAAGCTTGGCTCCCAGAAATCGGGGATCAGGGATTTCTTGTGACCCAGTGGTAGCCCCTGGTGGGACAATGATACTCCAGCGTGGAAATTCAGGAGGTTCCCAAGAGTTAACCTATGGGGACTAAGAGCCAAGTGTATGGAGCCCCAGCCAGCTGGACACAGTCCATACATTGTGGCCCTAGAGAAGTGGCTATAGACTGGAGCTTGGCTATCAGGTGGGCAAGGTCCCGGTAACCTGGGTGGCCACATGTATCTTAGTTGACATTGCCAAGAAGGAATTTGTTACCCCAGATTAAGGTTTTGAAGCCTGTCACCACTCAAGGTGGACTTGGGTTCTGTGTGGGTGTGCCTGCTGTCTGGGGCCATCTCAGGCTATTTGGGCAGAAGGGCTCAAGTACCTTATGAGGTCTGTAGAGGTCTGAAGGAAGAGTTGGGGTGGGCGCTGGGTGAAGGGATGGGACAGGACTTATCTGGGCAGTGGCTTTCACACTGTCCTCATGCTGCAGACTCAACCAGGTAAGGAGGAATTCAGACCCTCTACTCTTGTAATGAGACTCTGCCACCATGTTTTCCATGTTTTGGGATCACGGTGTGCTCAGGGAGGGCCAGGGCCTATCGTGCTGCATCTGCCTCCCTGTGGCCTTTCTGCCTTACATACTCAGCCACTTCTAGCTCAGAGAGGAATTAACTTCATACCTCTGGGCTGAAATTCACCAGCTCTGTGCCCATCATTCCCTATGTCCACCCACATGTGCCACCCACTGCTGGAACCCCCCCACACACACACACACATGTCCCCTCATTCCTTGGGGCCTGGCCAGGCACAGACTGTCACCAGCTGGCTCTGCAATGACCTCTGTCTCACTAACACCCACCAAGGGCTCTGCAGCCTGGCTTTGCTTGTTTCCATGGCATAAGGCCCAGCATGTCAATGGAGGTGATTCAGGTACCCCTAAACTGTTTACCCTTCTCCTCACACCTGGTCCTCCCCATGATGGCAAGAATCACCTCTTGAGCTTGGATAGTTCCAGCCATACTCCAAAGTCGAGTGATATAATCCAAAAATGGGAACAATTTTGTCCTCTCCTCATTGTCTTAGGAGAACCGTCCATACCTGTAGTGACCTCTTGGTCGCCATTTGGTCCCTTGACCGATATACATCTTCCCCACTGCCCCCAAGATATGCGTGTGGTCTACAGTGGTTGCATTTCCTTCCTGTGAGCTTGGCTTTTCCACACCCTGCCTGCTCTGTTCTCCCTGTTGAGGGTGTCCCTTGGGCTCCTCTGCCCTTCTCCTCCGGTACACCCATCGAAGGCTCAGGATAGAAACACTGGACTTGGGACTCTTGCAGGCACTTCACACTGACCATGCCAGTACATGCCTTCCTTCCCTCAGGGCTAGAGAGCAGAGATGGCCTCAAGCTGGTGCCCCACGTATCTGCTCCTGAGGGATCATCAGGATTCTGTTTGGAAAATACACTTCAAAGCTTTGAAAAGATGATTTATCTGGAACATTTGAGAGCCGTTGCTCATAAAAACAGGTCAGATTCAAATGTGTCTTCTAGGGACTCCTCCAAGGCACAGATTCTAGAAGCCATTTGGGGACGGATAGAGTTTGGGTAAATAGTCTGTGAAGACAAAAATGGTGGGGGGGTGGATTGGTCCTCTTAAAAAGACTTGTGATCCAACTTAAAAATTTTCCCAATTAAAGAGCCCTTTTGAGAAACTGCTTTTAACAAATTCCTACCCTAGCCCCAACCTGGAGTTTGCAGACACTCATGTCTCTGAGTAGGACCCTTAGGCTTGCTGCCTCCTGGCCCTACTGCATTCCCAAAATTCCTGTGTCACTTTCTTGGTCCAGGTCTTGGAACCCAGGATCTCAGTCCAATCCAAAGCCTCTCCCCAGCACCTATAGCAGCCCCTTGAGGCATACATATTAACTTTCAGAAATCTGGGGAAGCAAGGGTCCCTTGTCCTACACACTAATACTTTCTGAAGCCCCATGAAAAATGGAAATGTATGATATCTTATCAAAAACAAAATCAAGAATTTGAAGATGGCGATTGCAGAATAGTAACCAAAGGCAGGGCCTGGTAACTGCCCCATGGAGGCCTCCTCCACACTGGCCCCTCCTTCTGGTAATAACCCCACTTGGCACTTGGCTAGGCCAGGCATGTGCAAAACCTGGACAAGGAGCAGCTTTGAGCCATCTCTACCATCCTTACCTCGTGATCTCAGAGCATCCAGGACTCTATGATTTCTACCCTCACTGGCAGCCTCATCTCTGCCCCAAGAGGACAACCATCCAGATTTTTCCATGATATCATTTTTGCTATTCATATATTTCTAAACTGTATAAATAAATGTCTTCCATTTGCCTTTCTTTCTTTCACCCTTGCATCTATGAGCTATTGC